CATACATATATGACACCTTTATTTACATTACAATCACAATCTATGATCGATCCATCAATATCAACAACAACAACAACAACAAATTTAATGACTATGGATCCTGTTCAATTTATGCAAACATTAAGTGATAATAATAATAATAATAATAATGCAGATCAAAAACAACAACAACCATCTAATTCAACAACATCAATGATTTTACAAACACAAGAAATATCAAATAGACAACAATTTATTCCAACACAAATGTTAGATAATAATAATAATACAAATTATAATTGGCTCAAACAAACAAATACATTAGATTCAATAAATACATTTATGTTACCAACATTATCAACACAAACTAAGAAAACAACTTCATTAATTGTTGATGTTGATAATACAAATAAAAAACCTAAAATAAATATACAAAGTCAAATAATTGATGAAGAAGATGATGATATTTTTAGACTTAAAAGAAGATTTCTTAAAGATTCTGGACAATTACATGGTAAACTATTCATTTCAAGACAATAAAATATTTAGATATGATTTTTAGTTAGTTAGAAAATTTTGATTAAGCGACGTTATCCAAACTAATTCCTGATTGCTTTATCCTACGTAAATTTTTTTCGAATTGGCATATAAGAAAAAAAAGACGATTCCTAATGCCATTTGTCCTTAACTTGTGAACAAATTGAAATAAACAACATGAGTAGCAGAGATAACTTGAGAGTGTAGGATATATCTATCGTTCACCTACACTTTACTTGAGCATATTGAGTTTCGACAACGCCATTCACCACAAATGGTGTTCATAGGTTTGACAGTATATTGAAAGTCCAATTAGTTGAACACCTTTTGGTTTCGTCGTCGTAAAATGAAACATGACAACTAAGTGGTGATAGAAATCGCAAATATAATGATTAGATTGACGTTTGTATTGTAGAATAGCTTGTGAATTTGAATTGATCGACATGGACCTAATCCGAAAATAATTAAAGTAAAACTCTATCTGGAGGTAGATCGATTAAGTTGCATTAGTAAAATATTATTTGATAGGAACTCAAACAATGTCTAAACTGTGTATAAAATAATTTTTAGCTGGATGAGACATATATGATTTCCGTGTCTTCTATAGAGAAACATTCAGAAATGCCAAATATACGACAATCTTTATTCTACTTATCGAAATTTATCTACAGTGAAGGTTGATGAATTCGTCTCTAGAAAGCAGAATCTTTACTGCTCGAGATTTGTTTTCATAAACATTAAAAAAATCAAAGAAACAAAATTTCATGCTATGTAGCAAACCTACAGATAATGTCATCCTGCGTCTTGCTCTACACAATAATACTGGTAAAAAATATAAGACCATCATATTTTTTATTTTCTTTCTACGATACCAAGGATTTCACTCAATTTAAGATAGCGATTTGAACAGCCAATGAAGTTCTCTATCAAATACACGCCATATCGAAATTGACTATGAGAGGTAGTTTTCAAGTTTTAAAAGACTATTAAGAGTACCATCTCAAAAATAACAAGATATTGAATAAAATGAGGGGGATTATCACATTTTCTATGACCTTATCTTAAATAGGTATAAGCATCGTGAAACATAAAAAATGTGATTTTTGACGAAGCTATAATAAATTTTTCTTTATGATGCTTATAATTTTTTAATAGAAGGTCGTAGGAAATGCGGTAATTCCTCATTTAATTCAAAATTTTGTGCTCTTTACGATCACACTCATAACAATCTTCTAGGACTTAAAAGTTTACAGGTTTGATTTTCCAGAAACCTTCCTTTCATAGTCCATTTAAAACAATTTCTGTATGAAATATATTTGATAGAGAACTTCATTGATTCGTATCATTGAAAAAAGAAAGTACATCGTTATTATATTTTTAACTATTAGTAGCTACACATGTGTTATGTATTGATTGTTCATATATACAAAATTTTGTTTTATTTTCAGCTGCTTATTTTGCTCGAAGACAAAATGAAAAAAAAGAAACAGAAAAACAATATTTAAATGAAATTAAATTAAAACAAGAAAATCAAGTTGAAAAATATCGTACATATCGTATAGGTGAATTACCTGATATACAAATACGTTATAGTGATATCATAATACCTCTTCAAGCATTAGCTCAATATGATAATCATATAGCACGTTTATTATATGCAAGTTTATTTACATCAATATTAAATTCTCTTGAAGATAAATTATTACCTGATGAATATTATAATTTAATTCATACAATTCAACATCGTTTTGATGTTATGTTATCACAATCTGAAATATTTTATCCATCATTTGTTGCTGCTTTACTTGATATTGTTTTATCTAAACCTGAACAAATGCAAATATCAGCACAATATATAAGTGCATCAACAGTAGCAAGTCATTTAGAATCAGTTGGTATATTAACAATTGAATGTTTTATACGTTTAAATCAACAAAATGAATATAAACAATCTTTAAATGGACCATTAAAAAAAAAATTAAAATCTGATCCAGATTTAAATAATCAATTATATAAAAAAATTGATCAATGGCTTGAATTAGCTAAATGTTATCGTTCATTAGCTAATTATGATGATGTACGTGGTATTTTTTCTCAAACACCTGGTTTAAAATCCATAACATTACGTGCTATTGAAGAAGAAAGTCATACAGATTTTTTATTAGCTTTAAATAGTTATGTTACAGCATTAGAACAATATCCATTAAAAGATGAAACATCAAATGATCCAATATTAGAATTAGAACATGAATTTTGGACACAATCTATGTTAAATTGTTGTAATCAATTAAATAATTGGACAATTATGTCTAAACATATATTTATTGAAGATACAACATTTGATACATTATGGTCAAATGCACATCAATTAAATTATTTAATGCCATATGCTATACGTGCTAAACTTAAATTACTTATATCAGGTAATGAAAAAGAACAATTAGAACAAAATGATCTTTGTCAATTTTTTAATAATTTATCAACAAATGCAAATAATACAATTGTAACGGGAAATTCTGAAACAACATTTGTTAAACGTTCATATATTGAAAAACAATATCCATTTGAATTAGCAACATTTTTTCTTTATCAAAAAGATTTTGATCGTAAGTAATAACTTTGTTGTTTTTATGTTAATCAAAAACATTGAACTATGTAGACAGTTTTATTTTTAAACATCTATTAGGATAAATGTACAACTGTTCTAAATTGAACATCTCAACAACAAAAAAAGATTATAAGTTCTGATCTATCTCACAAATTATTGAAGAAGCATTTTTGCAAAGCTTCAATTGAAATCTTCTCGTTATATTCTATTTTATAAATCCTGAAGAAAATTTCGATCTAACGGAAGAAGATTGCAAACTAACTGACGTTGATTGGATGTAGATGTGGATATTTCTCCCATAATCAGCACCCACCCACACTCTCCCTAAGGCTTACTTATGTACAAAAAAAATAAGTGCAATTAGCATTGGTCATTTTAGGACTTTCTGTTTATTACGGAAAATTTTTCTATAAATGAATTAATTTATTTGTTTTGTTTTTTAGGTGCAAAATATTATATTCAATATACCAAAGAACAATTTTTACTTCGTTGGTCAACATTAAGTCGTTTAAGTGAATATGGTCGTAAAACAACAATTCAATTAATTCAACCGTATTATGAACTTGATCAATTTCTTATTTTTATTGAACAAAATTTACCATTATTAAAATCTCTTGAAAATCGTTATTTAACAAATAATAAAAATGATACAACAACACGAGATTTATTTCTCGAACATGTACATAATGATTTATTATCACAATGGCAATTACCAGATGTTATACGTAGTTCAATACAAACATGGGATGATATTGTTACGAATCGATCATTATTTTTAGATGTATGTATCAAAAAGTTAACTTTTTTAAGACTTTGATGTGTTGCATATAAGAAGCTGTGAGTGTGGATCTATAGCATCCGAGTTGTTTTACAAAGAAAATTGAGTTACTTTTCTATTTGAAAGAAAACAATGGACAGTTATTTTTATTTGATAATATAACGTGTGTGAAACCTTTACAACAATAATTTATTTCGAAAGTTTCAATTCTTTTGATTTGTTTCTATGATGAAATAAGAATATCGATTGTGTTTAACTTTAGATTCTTGATGAATTAATTGGTGGACCACGAATGACATTTACAAGTCGTTTAAAAGCAACTGAATTTGATCCATTATTAGTTGATTATAAAGTTCAATCATTACTTGATATGTCATATTGTGCATTACGACAACGTAATTTTAAATTAGCTTTAACAAAATTAAATGAAACACGTCATCGTCTTGATTTATGTCAAAATCCATTAATAAAATCAATATATTGGAATGAAATATATTGTGATGTACATTTAAAACGTCATCAAATTCAATCATCAACATCAACATTATCAAGTTTATTATCAACAAGTGTTGCAAAAGAATTAAAAAAAATGGAAACTAAAATTCAATCATTAAAAATTATTGATCAACAAACAGCACAATTAAATTCAAATTATATACAATTAAATTCACAATTTTGTCGAACAGTTATTGATTTTCTACTTGCACAACCATTAGGTTATCATAATTATGAACAAGATGAAAAAATTCCACAAGCTAAACATAAACAATTAGAAATGTATTTATATGGATTAGAAAATAATAATAATCAAATTCAACAAGCTGATCTATTAATTTATGAATTATTTAATAAATGTGTACATATACTAAAAGATAATATCGAAAAACAAGAAACGGATTTACAAAATCTTTCAGTAAGATTTTATGAAATCTTTTTTTTCCCTAGAACTCACATATATTATGAAAGAAATTAGTGAGTAGAAGTTTACATCGAAGTTTTTATGGCACTCAATTTCTACGCTCTAGCAGTCAGGAAGAAGAGGGAACCAATGACCATTGAGTACAAAATATACTCATTGGTCTCTGATCTTTGAACTCCAACTGCTAAAACCTAAGAAGAGGATAGCCAAGCATACATCGATTTAAGCTTAATGTCATTATTGTGTCTTTGAAAATAAATATGCATTGCACAAAAAAAAAATTTTTTTTTTTTTCTTTGTTTATTTAGACATCTATTCGTGTAGCAAAAGAAAATATTCTTAGTCGTGATTATAATGAATTAGCAAGTATTTGTGATGATTATTTACGTCGATATGAAAATAATGAAGATGAAAATAATTTATTAACGAATTTATTTACTGGTGATCATGGAAATAATATAGCTGAATTAGTTGTTAAATCTGTTTTATTATCAATGAAATATGGTTCAAATGAAGGTGTTAAACGTTTTTCACGTTTATTACAAATTGTTGATTTATATCCAAAAACAATGGATTTATTTGCTGATAAATTACAAGAAATTCCTTGTTGGATGTTTTTTGATTGTTTATATCAAATAACTGCACATTTAGATAAACCTATTGCGTAAGTAATATATCGTTTTATTCAAAGACTATTTTTAAAAAATCGAGCCTTGACATCTCTACGGCTAATATAGAGACGTCCTACATCATTCAAAACCTTTTAACTGATATTTCGCTCATAAATTCGGTGTGACTAAAAAAAAGTCTCAAAGGGTTCGTACCCATGGACTTTTGAAATCGAGATATGGACGTTAAACAGAATTTTAGACTCATGTATAGTATTTAGTAGAAAACTAAAAAATGAAATTCGGTTCATAGATAGGTCTGATGATTGTGTAAGTATCGTTAAAGCTTCAATCGAAAAAAAAAAATGTCACTTTGTCGAGATATTGACTTTTCAAAAAACACTCCTTTGCCACAACAATCGAGTTTACCTGACTATTCAATACTTTGACAAAGGAACATTCCTTTCGCTTGAACTATGAGCGAAACTATAGTAATTCGACTGCGACGAGTCATATCGATTAGCCCTTTAAGACTTTTTCTAATTTTTCCATAATTACCATATTTTTATTAGGATGAACACGAGCTTATATGACCATCAAACGAAAACTCTAGTTCAAAACAAATAATTTTAAATTGTTGAAATTTTTTGTCTTAAGAATTCTCTCATAATTTTCTTCAAGTAAAACTCTTATAACTATTATAAATAAACATACTGAATAATACATTTAATAAAATTCTCATTATAATAACATTCAATTAGTGAAATTTTACATTTAAATCTATTCTATACTTTTTATTTGTTTTTTTTTTCAAGTCTTAAATTATATCCAGTAATTGAACAAATTGTAAAACTATATCCTCAATCAATAGTTTATCCATTTAAATTAAGTTATGAAACATTACAATATTCAATAACTGATCCAATATTAAAACATAATCTTGAATTAATTCAACAACAATTAGATCGTTATACACCACTTGTTAATGAATTTATTGAAGCATTAAATCAATTAAATCCTCAACAACAATTTGATATATGGTCAAAAGAATTATTTCATTTATTAACAAATGATTCAGCTACAAGAGATATTGATAAACTTAAAGCACATTTTATTAAATTTAAAGAAATACTTTTCTCTGATATAATTAATCTTGATGAAACAAATGATGGACAAATTATATTACCAAATACACAAGATAATAATGAATTAGATAATAATAATTCATCATCGAAACCAAAAATAACATCAATAAGAATATTATTTAAAAATGCTGTTGAAAAAGAACTTAATGATTTATTTGGTAAAGATGGTGAATTATTTTCAACAATATCATTAGGTGATGCACGTTTAACATTAGGTAATATATCATTAAAATTAAAAACTATTATACAAGATAAAACAAATATAAATGATTATTCAACATGGTTTTCATCAACATTTCGACAACAAAATCGTATATTAGATAAATCATCAATACGTGAATTAGAAATACCTGGACAATATACAAGTAAAAAAAAACCATTAATTGAACATCATATTAAAATAGTTGGTTTTGATGAAAAACTTTTGGTACTTCATTCATTACGATTACCAAAACGTATAACAATACGTGGACATGATGAAAATGATTATAGATTTTTAGTTAAAGCTGGAGAAGATATACGACAAGATCAACGTATTGAAGCATTATTTTCAATTATGAATGATCTTTATGATAATGATCCAAATTGTAATCAATCAAATTCAGCTCATATTGCTGTACGAACTTATAAAGGTAATTCTTTTTTTTTTTTTAGTTTGATCAAAGAATTTTATTTCATCTTACTTTTGACATATTTGAACAATGTTGTCGTAACAAAACGTAGAATAGTTAGGTTCGAAAAAATTAGAAAAACTTATAAAAGTTTGAATACTTTAAAAATATCAGGTCATACTAGACTCGATTTTTTTTATCCAGCACTTCTTTTTTGTCATGCTTCGATGAGAGAAAATTTATACATATAATTAATTTAGTTATTCCAATGTCATCAAAATTGGGTATGATTGAATGGCTTGATAATACACGTCCATTAAAGGATCTTATTGAAGAATCATATACCGATAGTGAACTTGATATAATAACAAATCAAGGTCAACATCCAAGAAAACTTTATCAAGATTACGTAACAAATACATATCAAAAAGCTAAACCAACAGCTAAAACAGCTAATAATACAGTTATGTATGCTGAATTGTTTCTTAGTTTAACTAAAGCTCAAGTTCAAGAAGAATTTAATCATATACAATCCGTTATACCTGCTGATTTACTTCGACGTGCTTATTATAAAATAGCTAATTCTCATGAAGGTTTTTATACATTACGTCGACAATTTATAACAAGTTATGCTGTTTTATGTACAAGTCAATATATACTTGGTATTGGTGATCGACATCAATCGAAGTATGTTAAATAAAACGAATTCTCACGAAAGCAGTTTTTCAACTGATCAAACGCTTTCTCATCAGATTCTAGCGGATTTGTAGGTTATCGACTGTGCTGATTTTATATAATTAGAACATAATTAGTAACTTTTTCTACTTCGAATCAGTTTTTCACAAAATAGAAAAGATTATTGACTCACAGACAGCTCAATATGCTCTATAATCTAAGTAGATCCAAAACGTCTGTTCGCTTAGAAAAACCACCATATAAAAATCTGAGAAAGTTTCTTATAGTTATATTCGTAATTGAAATGCTTCCGTTAGAGTCATTAGTTAAGTTATCGAATAAACTACTTGGGAATCCATAATATCAAGCTTGAACCAGTATAAGAATGTGCTCGAACTACACCATCTTGTTAGGTAGAATTTTTTATTGAAAATACATACTTCTGAAACCAACTATTCATACGAATAAAGTTTTTTGAGGACACTAGTGAAGTAATCTTAGATCCAATTCACAATTCATATAATTCGTGTATTTTTAAAAATTATTTATTTATTTAGTTTTCTTATTGATACATCATCTGGCCAAGTAATTGGTATTGATTTTGGTTCAGCATTTAATGCAGCGACGATTGTAAATTGAAACCATATTATTAAATAGTGAAAAAAAAAATTTTTTTTCTTTTATTTTTTTAGCATTTACCTGTACCAGAATTAATACCAATTCGTTTAACTCGACAACTTACACAATTAATGTCACCTATTGGTACAGCTGGTTTATTTCGTGCAACAATGATTCATACAATGAATGCATTACGTGAAAATTCTGATTTATTACTTAGTACAATGGATGTATTTATTAAAGAACCATTAATGGAATGGATGGTAAGTTTTAATTTATATAATAGAAAAAAAAAACATCATACAAAAATAATTTTAATTATAGGAACATGCACTTAAAACAAGTAAACAAGTAGCACAAAGTGGTATGTAAATGAAATAAAAATAATGAATTATTTCTTTTAAAATGATTTTGTTTTTTTTTAGAAACAAATATACTTCGTTCGGATGATACATATGCAAAAGATCGAATTAAAAGTGCACGATTAAAACTTAATGGAATTAATCCAGCTGTTATAATCGGGTATGAATAGATGAGTAGTAGGTTTTATCTATGAATTTTATTTATTTTTTGTTTAAGATCTGATTTGAAATTAAATAGTTTTCTTCGTTCATCAAATTTAAAAGAAGCACGTCGTCAAATGGAAAAAGTTGTTGGTGGCGATCAAATAGATAGTAAACGTGCACAAATTTTATTAAAATATAATTCAAATCGTTATCATAAATTAACTGTTGATGAACAAATTGATTGTATTATTGATCAAGCAACAGATGCTGATATACTTGGTCGTTCATGGGCTGGTTTAGAAACATTTATGTGAATTTTTTTTTTCTTTCTTTATTTGTAAATAATTCTTTGGTGTTGATGCAAAACAATTAAAATTGCAAATTTTTCCCTTTTCTCTTTGTGTAACTGTTCTGCAAAGTTTTGCCTTTTGATAATT